ATTTTCGGAACAATTTAAACATACATACAATAAAGTATTCACACTACAGAGAATATAAGCATATCGTAAACGTTATATCAGTATATGTATAGTTCTCTTCTTCTTGTCAAAAGTTCTCTTAGGCCTGTTCAATTACTTTAGAATATCAGTTTACAAGCTGAATTATTTTCTCTAATACTATCACAATGGTATGATTTGCTTATAATTGTGGACTTCTTTCTTCTGAAGATCCTATATTCCTTTTGTCAAAGTGCATTCAGGCTGATTCAATTACTTTAGAATTTCGCTTTGACGGAATAAACTTATTTCCTTTTCCACTGTTAGTTTCCTTCTAATATATATATATATCAAACGTTAGACCTATCACTTTTACGTTACTTAACTTCACACCAACTATATTCTCTTTGCTTTTATCTGTCTAATACTGTCTGTCTGCTGCTTCCCACTTGTCTTATGCTATTTATATCTTTATTACATAGTCAACTGGCCACTTTCTATATTCTCGATACCAATTAATTATTAATAAAACCTTCTACAATCGTCTGCTTTTAACTCTTAAATAATAAAATATTCACTCACAAATATAAATTAATCAATAATACTTAAACCAAAAAGTATTTTGTATCATGACAGTGAGAAATGAAAACTCAGTTAAGTGTATTTCTAAGGCCAGGGTCTGAGTATATATATAAACCTATACTTTGCAATGGGCAGAAAAATTTTAATTACAAAAGAGAATTGTTTACAAGCAATACCCCTTGGAGCTCTGCAGAGATCAAAATTCAAACATCTTTGTTTTAACATTTTTCTTTAGCAATTTTACTAAGTAACTTTGTAAAGTTACAAAATATCAATTCTTAAGATATTTTTAAGTAAACACAATTTTTGAAGCAGTGTTTAACAATTATTACTTAAATTCTGAAACCCTAATAGGATTAATGACTGAATTCAAAAATTATTTGCAAGTTGCTTCTAATAATTTTCCTTAGGTAACAGACGATGTCATGACACCTACATAAAGACAATAAAATACATAAAAAAAACTCAGCTGCCAGTCAGGAAAATTAAAATCATAATAAAAATAAGAGTTAACTTAAAATAATTTAAAAATTTAGAACATACCTCAAAATAAACAGATGAAATCCAAAATTATAATGGAACACATTAGTATCATACTTCAAGTTCAAAAACAAAATTAAAACCTGAAATATATCAACTCAAAATTACAGCACAGAACTGAAAGTAAACCAAATCATAAATCTTAACAATAAGTTAATAGGGATGGGTAGTAATATTACAAGATAGAATTTGATATTAACCCTTTCTGGACTGAGAAGCAGTTATCAATGAAATTTTAATTAACATTTTCCTTACCTGAAAATGTATTTCCGAGCTCATGCAAGCTGCCAAAAAATTTGCAAGCCATCATCCTTGTGAAAACTCCCACAATCTCATGTGAAACCATATGAATTTTCACCAC